CTGTGGTCGGTATAGGCGTTAAGAGTGAAATCAAAATCGGAAAACCGTATATCTCACTTGAAGAGAAAAAATTTGCGAGGCATATCTTTAGTAAGAAGCAGACGCAGAAGTAAATTTTAAATCAGTTAAAAAAATTAGAAGAAAATTGATTTTCTGCAGGTGATGGCAGTGGAAGTTGATGGCGAAGGTCAGGCGGTTGAGCGAGCTCGAATAAGTCCGCTGGCCAACAGTCATTTATTTGGTGATTTGCAACCAGATACCCAGTACAACATGGGTGTGGTAGCATTCGTGGATCATGAGCCCAAACTCGTCTATAAACTTCTTGCCAAGACAGCACGAGCCCCAGGAATGGCTTGGGATGAAAAGCCAACCATAGCTCCCGAGAATGCGCAGCAATTCTCGGTGCACTGGAAGAAACCGACATTGCCTGTTGGTGCGAGCATTTCTAAATTCGTCATCGAATATCGACTACCCAACGAAACCGAGTTGGTATTTTTGTGGATTTTTTGTATAATTTTATTTCTAGGCGGGATTTTGTTTACAGAAAATTTTGTCTATAGAAAACAAAATATTAATGATGTAAATAATGTACTGAGGTAGGTAGCTGAAGGTCGATAGGCTTGGCATACTTGTGCCTGGTATGTGAGACCATTCGAGAAACATCCCTAACACAAGATTCCCGCAACGCTTTTCTGAGCGATTGCGGTATTCCGGCATATTATTAAAGTTAAAGGGAATTGAGCAGTTTGTAGAAACAAAATCCAGATGTTATCGTCTAGTTTAAGGAAACTAAATAGCCAAAGGAGCTGCATTAAAGATCGAAGCTCTTTGTATTTCATTTTGTAAGACAAATGGTAGTAGCGCTCCAAAATGGCACCAATGAAATGCTCCGCCAACTGGTGAGATTCTTGGTAAGATACATGATAGATTCGTAGTAGTTGTTCCATGACCCTTTTAATCCTGAATTGCATACTTTGAGTTAGTAAGTCCCATCTCCAAATTATAGGTAGGTGATAATTTCTGTGACATTTTTATGCGTTTTTGCATATATGTAAATGCAATAACGCATATTGTGACGACTCCGGTGTGTGTGTGTGTATACGTTTGGGCATGTGTTTGTGCGTGTACGTGTTTGTATGCGTCTGCCCTGTTATTTCAACTCGACAACCAGGCAAGTTTTGACGCTGAAATCTTGCCTATAGGTTTCCTGGCCAAGTGCCATCTCAGGACTGCGTTACCATCCTCCACGCACGCCTGGGCCTCCCATACGAGAGCGTGAAAGTTTTAGTGAGAATACCGCCAACGCGAGAGCTAGGAAGGTTGGGAGACTGAAATTTTAAGAGGATCTTCTCAGGCCACGTATAATTTAAAGATTTCAAATTTAGCTCCCAAGTGTTCATGGTCCTCACGTACAACCCCGTGAAATCTTTTAACGGGAAAATCGTTGGCTCGGAAACCGGGAAAGCTGGGATTGAAATTTTAAGTACAACTTAAAGATTTCAAATTCAGCCCCAAGTTTGCATAGTTCCCACATACGGCCCGTAAAAGTTTTTGGCTGAAAATTGCTAGTTTCGGAACCAGAAGAATTTGTAGGCTGATCTCCTCTGCTCAAGTACTACGTAGTTACACCATTAACTTCCTGAACTTCAAGGAACAGTATGTCACAAATTGTAGTTACTGGGGTTTCAAGCTAACTTACTACAGCACGAAATACTGCAAAAATATATGATTGCACGGGCCCGAGAAGTGCGTGTCGCCAATGATTTGATGAAGATTTACGGTTTTAGCATAAAATATTAGTTAATTTACTGTAAACTTCCATACTCATGGGTTCACTTCAGATGGCGCAAATATGACGATTTAATTGTGGATGATGCGACGGATGACTATCACATCATGTTCGACAGTATCTACGATGGTTCATTCTATTCCTTCCGTATATTGGCCATCGATGATCAGCTTAAATTAGCTGCCAAAACTGCTGAGGTAATATGCTTTCAGTTCTGGCATTTAATGTACAGTGGATATTACTGCCAATAAGCTGACTACTAAACAGTGCAGTGTCGGTTAGAGCAACTGGAAAAGTTGTCAGCCGGAAAGCTGGAAAAAAAGTGTGAACAAAGACTGATGGTCCTGATAACAGGGTCAGTGTTTGTTTCAGTTGCTTGTACAGGTACCAAATTTAAAAGATTTATTCCATTTCCTAAGCTTGTTTCTGGTTATAATTTATGCATTGCAAGAATCGGTTTAAAATCCCGATGTTATTAATTGCTCTGATCGACAACGAGTTGTAAAAGGACAAAAAATTCAGTGAGATTCAAATTTCATGTCTGTTTTCATAGTGCTGTCAAGCTCTGATACTTTTTGCTACATTCCTTCTCGATAGTTCTTGGGATCTAACCAAAAGAATATGTTCACTACCATAATGCTTTGAGCTATAGGTATAAACTACACCTTGACGATCCCGAATATTCTTTTCCCCACGTTACTTTGTCCATGATTTTGCATGTTATTGTGTTCTGAAGATTTTCTTGAGGCAGGATTTCTAAATCATCTGCTTGCTGTAGATCACGATTGGTTCCGCAGCATCGGATTCTTGTGCTGGTGACGCTGGTGTACCACATAACGTACGCGCAAGTTTCGTCTCCGAAGCGACCATCCAGTTCACATGGGAGAAACCGCAGTGCGATGAATCCTACGGGCCAATTGATGGCTATGAATATACGGTTACTACTTTATAATATTGCTATCATTAGTTTATCATACATCGGTAAGTGAACCCTGCGTAGGACATTGACTGCTTTGGTGACTCTGAAAGAGACGATGTGCGTATTTGGCGGGGATGACAAATGAGTGCTGAAGAGTATCCGATATAATTGCGGTCGATTTGCTTGTAAGTTCTAGGCTATTACACCTGGCTGTGGTGATACACCAGGCTGTTTGAGCGTTTTTCAAAGGCTTGAAGCTTTCAGCAATTTTCGAAAATTTTTAAAGAAATTACTACCTATTATCTCGGTATTAAAAAATACGTTGAGTTGTTTTTTTATGTTTAATGTTACCTTGTTTATGCTTCTAGGTTTGCAAGTTTCAAAAATTCACTTGAAATATGTTTTCGAGCTTTGTACCTAATGTTGCTTTATTAAGGTTGCACGTGAAAATGCTTTAAAAAACAGGGCTCAGAAAAAGGCAACGACTACGTGTGTGTGGTACTGAAAGTCTTGTGTCGTTAGTTAGCCACAACGTTTATAGACCGCTTTCTTGAATATCTGCTGTTTGGTCATAGAATGTTGTCCAATATTACGTTCCTTCGGTAGACACTGTCGGAATTTTTTATTCAATGTTACAGTTCTGGAACGTCGAAACTGATACGCAACCGCAAACAGCGTCTTATATTGGTCGGAATACGGTAGCGCTGAATGATCTAGAACCCGGTTCGCGGTACGCATTTCGAGTTCGTTCCCGCGCAGGTCATGGGCACAGTTCCTGGAGTGATATTGTTCATGCAGAAACAGAAGCACATTCCGGTTCGCTCGGTAAGTTATATAGAAAAATAAGCAACTGTCATTTTCATTTTCTAACTATGGTATTCTCATGAAATATATCTGCGGTAGCTTTTCAGCGAAGGATGGACTCTGTCCGATAGCACACAGCATTTGTTTTTGGTTCTTACTATTGTGGCATTTAAAATTGTATCGGCGTTACTGTAACAGTCTTGGTTTCTTGGAACCATAAAGTGTTTGTAATTCAATTCGAAAGCAAGAAAACGAGTTACGATTAAGTAGCACCTGCACAGTTCACCTTTTCCACAAAAGTTGTGTTCGCACCATGAGATTTTTATTCCTTTGTCACACTGTATTTGTCTTTGGCAAAGACACCTGGGGCCACTACCGTTTTCGAATCGTTAGCTTGCATCCAAAGACTGGCACCGTTTTTTGATCCTGGGGATTGTTGCCATTTTCGGATCACTATCAGGCACTTGAGACGTGTTTAAATGAAACTCACCTATACATGACTGGCACGCACACTTGCCTGGCACTGATTTATTTTATCGCAACAAATCAAAAGAATGAATTTACTTCAGTATTTGATTTTCTGTGATTATGCACCACAAATTCTTATTTTTAAAGCACTATTAATTTTAATAATTTATTTTTTTATTTTAGATTGACCAAATTTTTAACATAAACTAACTTCATATAAGTGTAATAACATGCTTTGGGGCTTATTGGTGAAAATATTTTACACTAAACTCAATTCCGTTTCTTCCTTCTCTTCTTGTCCATGTCTTTTTAACCGAAATTGAAAGGAATTCTCTCTCCTCTTCCTTTCCCAGTCAAAAAAAGGCTTTTAAAATAACCTGTTTTGCTTCCTGAAACCTGCTGAATCTCTAAAAAGTGGCTCCTATCAGTTATACATGAAAATCGAATTTTACCTCTAATATTCATTGATTTACTTTTCGCAGTCTTACTGCACTAGCAACTTCCACGGTTCTGTTTTTCAAAAACTTCTTTGGTTACAGTTATTATGTTACGTTTCGTATACTAACATTTAGCATTTACCGGTAAAGCCGATTCTCAATATCAGCATCGCCATCGTCATCGTTATCGACCACAATTAACCAAAAATAACACGCTTCTTGCCCAGTTATCAGCCACACCAGCACTGCTACTGCAACGTGTTAAGCGACAGCAAAAAAGTCAGATTACAGGTAATTAAGGTAACTTCTATTCGAGTGCGAAAACTTTTGAGAAGTCTTAGAAGCGTGAGAGACTACTGTACTTGGGGAGTGGTGAGTTCTGTAGAAGAAGCCGAGGCAGCAAAGTAATAGCGCATATATGCCAAGAACACCATAAATGGCCAACGCACGGGCTGCCCGTGCGAAGATGCGTTTTTTGCAGAGTTCCCCGCAGGTTTTTTGACGCTACCGGCATCAGTTTTTCGGCAGATGCTTCTAGCTGAATTTCAGACTGGCCGCCACAACTGTC